TCCTCGCTGGTCCTCCCCCTCTGCCTGGGCCTGTGCTCTGATCCCGGGGTCCTCGCTGGTCCTCCCCCTCGTGCGCTGACACCACCCCCGATGGGCTCACCATCCTTCCTGAGACAGCAGCTCCGGCTGCACTTCTGGCCCGTGCTCTCCGAGTAATACTTGAGGAACTGGGCCCCCAGCCTCTGAGATTCCTCTAGGTCCAGGAGCAGCCCTGGGAAGCGGCGGATCCAACAGTCTCTGTAGAACACTGAGGGCGAGCAGAGCCCGCGCACGGAGCAAGCCAGCCCCAGCAGCAGCAGCCCCGCCGCCTGCATCTCGGGGTGCCGAAGGGAGGCCGCTGGAGCCGACCATGGGCCGCGCCAGGGCTCCTTCCGCAGCGGCCTCTCTGCACCTTTGTTCCTGCGCCGCTGAGCCCCGGGAGAGCGCTGGCCTGCGGCCTTGCCTCTGAACCCTCTCCAGCCGGTTTCGGTGTTCTGACCCTTCCCCTCTTAAGACAGGGATGCTCCCCTGGCTTTTCTTCTTTCTCTGGGAGTGAAGAGTCACAGACACCTTTTCCTAGGCAGATAGGAAGGCCAGGAGAAACCCGAGCCCAGAGTCCTGCTGAGAAAAACAATTACCCGGTCTCTTGACATCAGATTAAGGGAGGCTCTGTTTCCAGAAACAACTCCTGGTTTTGTGAGGTGTTCAGTATAGGCCGAAGGGCTGGTGACTTCATTTTTTACACTTCTGTTGTTCAGGCTCCTGAGAAAACCAGTTCATGTACTCATTTGACTTTCAAAAACTTGAAAGAAAAAAATAGAAAAAGGAATATATTTAAAATGTTTAATGTTTCGATGGCTGGACTCCGGCTGTATACTTATTTTTATTCTTATTCTGGTTACTTCTTAGGGCCAGTAGTTTTCATGCAAGCTAGTCATGAGCTTTCTTCCTAAAAGAGACGAAGGAGTCAACCTTTCTACCTCACCCCTGCACCCCGAGTGCTCAGAATGTAGGTGAAATACAGCAGCCTCTCAGGGGCGTCTGTGGCTTCTCAGGCCTGGCAACCCGAGCTCCATGTCCAGTAACCCCTGTCAAGGTAGAACAGAGCCGACTCCACAGAGTTGTTCTCCAACCTGCACACGTGTGCCTGCCTCCTCACTGCACATCACACGCGCGTGAGCACACGCACGCACTCACGCTCACATGTACACAGGCATGCACACGCGCACATTCTCACACACCATAGTGCCCAGGCCGGCCGTCAGACTTCCTCAGCAAGCGCTTTGACCCACGGAGCCACCTCATCAGCCAGCCTTTATAGTGATTTGTGATGGGATGCTTTCCTTATTCAGCGCTGGTGTGCAGCCCCAGGGTGTGCTGGGTAAAATTCTACCGCTGCTTCAGCCCTAGGATGTTCTGAGAGAGTTCAAAAGTGAGATGTGGATCTAGACAGGCCTCACCGCCCCCCACCCCCACCCCGCCCCCAACCCCTCCCCTACCCCCCACCCCAACAGCCTAATCCAGCTGCTGTGGGGGTAGAATTTTTAGTTTTACAAATGTCCCAGTTGACACCCTAAGAATTCTGGGAATGCTGGCCTTGAGAGACTTCTCCAGCTTTTCCACTTTCTTTCTTTCTTCTT